GAAGAATATGAAGGGAAAGAAAATCAATATTTATATCTTGTTCAGCTTGTCTGCTTTACCAGTTAACTCTCGCCATCATGGCATTTTGTGACTTTGGTTTCGAGGCATAACAACTAGAAAATATGCCCGTACATCGCTTTCCGTCTTGTAGATATCGTACCCTTTCAGAATGTGGATGATCGTGGATCTTCACAATTTCCATTTTTTATTGTTGCTCGAAATAATTTTTTTCTCTTTATCATCTTCAAATCAGCCTGTTGACGTGTTTAAGGGAATCGGTCAAGATGTCAACCATTTCTTCAAAATATATCAACAGGCTGATCTACATTGCTTCCGGTTGTCTTTAGTATACACCATAAGTTTCAAATTCGGCGATCCTAATTTCTTTATGATGCGTCTCAGAAATGTCACTTTCTTTCTGATTGATAGCAGCAGTTGGCATGGAGTTCTTATCACGCTGAAAACATACTCCTTATTCACGCGTTCTTTTAATTTTATTCTCAGTATCCACCAGTAGAACTGCATCTTCATTGTCGTTCCTTCATCATCTGTCATGCAGAGACGGAAGTAGGTGTTACATAGAAGTTCATCAATCATTCTATTTCTAACTTCATTTTTTATCTCTTAATACATTACTTAGTTATTGAAAGACATCTTGCACTATTCTCTCATATATATATATATATATATATATATATATATATATATATATATATATATATACAACAACATGCCTGGCCGCGTACACAATTCCGGAAAATCCTTGTTGAAAATACAACTATACTTAAACATGAAAACAATAAACAAAAGCTAAAAATTCTTGAAGCTATATACGTAAAACGGTTGAAACCTAACCTGAACAAAACAAACTATGAAATCTCCACAATTATTCTTAAATGCCTATAATTGAAAACAGAAGCCATTGGTTTATACCAACGGCTTCCCATACTTAATACTTCTCGTTTTCACTCTCGCGTGGTCATGTGTGACGTCACGAGCTACCGAAATCCTAATAGCGAAAGATGCTTTTCAAAAGTTAAGCAAAGTATTAAGGAACAGGAAATTTTTGTTAGAAGCAAATAAAATTGTACTGGAATATTATGTAATATCATTCCTCCTCTATGGTACTGAATGCTGGACAATTTCATCACAGATAAATAAGAGACTTGAGGCAGAAATTTAGTTCTACTGAGAATATTATAGACTGAGAATGTGAGCAACGATGAAGTTTGTCTATATTTCTGAGATGAGGTATTGTAATTATTTACATTACTTACATTGTTCGGACTATTGTCCTCATCTTTATTACCATATTCACGACGTTTCAGTCGTTGTACGCTCCGGGTTTCTTCAGGGTCGTCTATATTTCTGAGATGGGGTATTATAATTATTTACATTATTTTTCGGACAAAAAGGACACATACTTAGAATAAGAAAAAGTGAGTTAAAATTTCTAGGGCACATAGTGAGGAAAGAAGTTTTAGAAAAACATATTAAAGGCCAGAGAGATAGAGGAAAAAAGTGAATCAACTACCTAACGAGGTTGTGTAAACATTTGGCGGAACTGGAATTAAGAGAAATAGCCAAAAAAAAAAGAAACATTGTTAATAGTTACAAAGGATAGGAAGTTGTGGAGAATCATGACCCCCTCCCAACGATCAGAAAGGGATACGGCACATAGTAAAAAAAGAAAAACATTTGAAGTGTTTCGCAGAAGACCTGGATGATGTAAGTGATGAACGATGGAAAATATGACACCAGGGTGCAAAAACAGGAGGGGAACGTTGACAGGGACTCTGTCGATAAAAAAAAAAAACAAGGGAAGATTAAAAGGGAATTATCAAAGATTTTCATCGTAGAAAATCAGTTCGTTTTTACTTTTTACTACAGAAGCTAAATAAGAATTTTGTGTACTTATCTTACGTGGTGTAGGGATCCGTCCCTGCGCTGGTGGTATCACGGCTATGACTAGCTTAGACCAGCTCTGACCAGCTTGGACAAGCTATGACCAGCTTGGACCAGCGGCCCGAGGAAAACATTCGGGTCCCCATGTTAAAAACTGACCTTGTGTCACAACCTGACTCAGTGGGGGGGGGGTCAAGTAAATACACTTACGCTGTAGTCAAATTTGTTTCATTCAATAAAATGCTGTTATTGCAATCACGATTTGGTCTTTTGCGCCATTTCCATCAAATTCACATTCTGTAACGTTCCAGAGTCAAAAAATAATTTTTGTCTCTTTCGATGATTTTGAAAGAGAAAAATCCCTACGTAATAGGCAAATTATATTCTTTTATTTTTATTTTTTTTTTTTTTAGATTCAACACTTCAAAAATATTACAATTCTTTCTTGCTTTGCGCCATGCCACTTCAGAACTTTAGCGATCTCCAAACTTTTCAGTCCTATGTAGCTCTTCGTAAATTTTGTCTTTTTGCTGCCTCTCCTAATCCCTGTTCTACCAACATTACATTATTTACATTATTCGGACTGTTATACCCATCTTCATTGCCATATTCACCGAACCGAACCCTTTATTATATAATATATAAGCTCGACAGGTAGGTTATTCGCTGTTTTCTTCTGTACCTCTTGCCTTTGGGTATCAAATTTTCCAAGCCTCCTTTCCTCATTATATGTCCTAGAAATTTGAACTGTCTCTTTCTGAAGTTAAGTATAAATGTATTTTTTTTTTGTTTCCATTTCCTCTCAAAATTTTTTTCTCAAACGTCTTTGCTCACGTGATCAGGCCATGTTATCGTGTGCAAACTCCTACAGTCAAAATATCTCATAGGGTAAGCCTTTTATTTTTTCTGGGGATCTGCGTCATTATCATTATTATTATGATTATTATTATCATTATTATTATTATTACTGATGTGCTGTTCGTATAACGGCTTGGAATGACATCGGTGAACTGAATTCGAATTCCGGCAGTTTTTTCTTTCCATTCACTCTCGCAGAAATATATTTAGAAAATGCATGAAGCCATCTCTTCTCTTCATATCTATGGTTAAAATAATACAGGTGACTGTTCTCTCTAGCTGCCGTTGGCATCTATTCTAGAATAAACACAACTCGAAATTGGTTGTGTAGAACTGGCAACACCAACCTATACAGCCATTGAAGAGATTATAGAATTGAAAAATAGATTTACAAATACTAAGATTTTTTAATCATTTCACACCAATCAAGGCAATAAAGCCACTAGGACGCAATGTGTTACTGAGTTTTAGAGAATATGATAAAAACTATTATTCTCTATTTAATACTGTTTTATTTGGCCTCAATCGACAATGATCTAGACTGAAACTGAATAAAAATATCATTATTATTTTAATTATCATTTGAGGTGCCGTTTCTGGGCTATATTGTGTTGGAGACGTAAAAAAAGGACATACTTCTCTATAATTAAATACGATATAATATGATGTAATATAATCCGATATCAGTAAGCATATGGAATCGTTTCTTCATGACTGCTTCGTCAATCCTTTTGGGCTTCCAGGGCAAACGTCGGGCATCTGGCTAATCGTGTGAACTTTGCATTTCATCAAATCTCACCAAATCACACGGTGGTGGAATGTCACGTTAGAAAGAAGGCTTGTTCCATTAAAGACGTGAATATTAGACGATGTCGCATTTTTTTTTTATCGAAAGTTCGAGATGTAATAGAGATTTGTAAAGAAACCAAATGAACGAATTGGTTTCAATTTCAGAAGTGTATTAAATATATATCTGTTAATATAACCAAAGGGTATGATAAATTTCACGTGCAAGCGGGATAACTGTCGATGGTCCACCTAAATATTTTTTTTTTTTACCAGTCCCCTTTGAAAAACATCGTCATTTCTTTTTCTAGATAATTTAAAATATAAACTTAGAGAGAGATCACACACACACACACACACGTACGCACGCACACACACAAACATACGCACGAACACACACGCACACGCACACATACACACAAACACACACACGCGCACACACACACACGCACACACACACAAAGATATGCACAAACACACGCACACACACACAAACATACGCACAAACACACACGCACAAACATACACAAGCACACACACACACACACAAACATACGCACAAACACACACACACACACATATGTTGAGGAAATTGTAAGACAAAATGGAAAAGTCTTTATTTGTGACGGATGAAACACGTCACAAATATTTTTTTTTCACATTGTCTTACAATTTCCTCAATATTGTTCTTGACATATAAAAATATATATAGTTATCGCATAAATATATATATATATATATATATATAGAGAGAGAGAGAGAGAGAGTTGTCGGGACCGGAGAAGAAGTCTCTTATATCCGGGTTTGGTCTATTTTATATACATTAACACAGGCTCTAATTTGGGACCGGAGAAAATCTCTCTTATATCCGGGTTTCTCTTATATCCGGGTTTCTCTTATATCCGGGTCTTTTATATCCGGGTTACACTATATATATATCTTATCACCCGAAAAGAAAAAAATTATGAGATCACATGAGAAATTGTATAAAAACTAAATGAAAGCACCTTTTAAAACCTTCATTCTACAATCTACATTCAACATCATCACTTGATAAGACACCAGAGGTGTTGAAACAAAATAGCTAATTTTGTAGTGATTTTATAATCTATTTATGTTATAATTTTTAAATAAATATATATATATATATATATATTTATATATATATTTATATATATATATATATGATACAACAATCTTTATATCTTCACATGCACACCTATAGACACGCATAAACCCACACATACGCATACAAGCATGCACACACGTACACACCATCATATATGTGTGTGTGTATTTAAACAACAATCCTTCTTTTATGCACATTTCATTGAATACGACTGACAAGGTGCTTTCATTTAGTTTTTATACAATTTCTCTTGTGATCTTATAATTTTTTTTTTCTTTTCGGGTGATAAATTATATAAAATCTGTTCAATTTTTCTTTCTGA